ATTACCCATAACGGCTTGCGGACAGACAGACAAACAGACAATTTTTTCTATGCGATTTTCGTAATCAACAATGCAAATACATCATCTTCTCGAAATTTGGAATTTTTCTTCTGACATTAAACGGACACTCCAATGTTATTACATGTAAAGATATCTCCGCATGATGATGTGAATTTTGATTAAAAAACCATACATCGAAATAACATGTCAAAGTTAATCAATAGAAAACCACAATATTCGTTTGACAGTCCAACGCCTGGTACTGATCGAGTTCGGTTTGAGTCTAATGAGAGCTTGGTCGCAGATAAATTGCTATGCGATGACTAATACGGTAAGTGATTTGCGGTTATGCGGTCCTGGTAATTCGAGTACGAATTGCATAGATAGTTTTTTTTGTTTTCATGCTGGGAACTAAATTATTCTCAGCGGTTACAATGCCATTTTCAAGGACGTTTAAGGGTCACTTAGCAGTCCCTTACTTTAGGTTTGTAATCTAAAGAAGACGGAGTCGCGGGCGAAAGCAGTAGTATTTCCATAAAACTTATAATTGCTACTAAATTTCCACATTAATCACAAATAACAACAAAATCCGTTCAGAAGTCATAGTCATAAAAATATAATTTGCTACTTAAAAGTTAAAAACTTCTGCATAAAAACAACAAAATTATTACCAACACTAAAATAATAGAATGCGAATTTAAAAAAAAAAACTTCAACTCGATTACAAGTAATTTGGTTGAAGCTGTCTCCGATTAAAATCGATTAATTTATTCGTATCGTAGCGAGTTGTCGATGTTATCGCGCCGTTTTGTCGACGCCACTCGCCGGAGTCGATTCAAATGTGACCCGTTTAGTTCGCTGGCTGATTATGTTAAATTCTTTCTCACGTTGATAAACAAAATGCATGTTACTACAATCGGTAACATCTATTTTAACACGTTTTTAATAGTGTTTTAATTTTACTACCTTAAAATTTGTATAAAGAAATTCGATAAAACGCCATCTAGTTAAATTATATTAAAACATTTTCTTTAAAAATGTTTAACGTATTTACGTAGTTTAAAAAATTAAAACATGAGTCATTGCTTACGCTTATTTATTAACTCAATAATTATGATAAAAATATTCAATAATTAAAATGAAATTGTGACGCAAAAGGGGTGTGCCAAGTTTTTATATCTTTCTTTATTTGGTAACTTTATTACATGTTAATGAATATATTGGACCTAAAATAGCTATTACTAGCTGTTCCCGTGCGGCTTCATTCGTATGAAAATCGTTTTATTGATTACATTTGTCAAATTCAATCGCAAATGTCAAAATGACATGACATGATGACAAAGCATGGCAATTTTGCTTCCTTGATGTTGGCAGCAACTTATGGCGTCTTTCCCACATTAGGGTTTTAATCTAAAATATTTACCCCCTAAGTTTAATGTCGTGAAAATATATAGCCTAAAGCGTGACGTAAGTATAGGGCTTCTTGTTTTAAAAAAAGAATTATTCAAAAATATGCTGTGATTGCTGACATCTTAGGTAACAAAGAAGTGTGTGTTTACGCTTTATTATAATAGTATAGTATAGGTTAACTAGCTCTGCAGTTTGGATTCTTTACTCACAAATAAATCCACTTGAAAATCTCCTACGAAGTGTATACTAAAACTAGTTAAATATTCATTGTTAAAATAATTCATTATTAAGAAAGATTTTCCGATAATTTTAAATACGTTTTTGTATTGGAATTCACATTTTCTACAGTGTCGACTAAAATCGAATTGATTTTAATTTAATCGTAAATACGATCACGTTATCGATTCTGCGAGTCGATTTGACATCCCTACTGGCTGTTGGCGTATTGCGTACATTTTATTCTAAATTTAAATGAAATGTGTGTATTTATTGAAATATTTCCGCGGCTGTTTTTATGTTTTTAACTAAAAAAATAACCTGTAAATTATTATATTAAAATTAAATTTTGATCAATATCAACATTGCCTTTTGAAAGTGGAATAAATTTAACTGGACTTCTTAGTTGATTAAAAAAAATATTTTTGCTTATTATAAAACGTAACCAGCCAGCATCTTACCTTGGTTATGAACAAAACTCGTATGAACATTGTTATCCCTTTCACTCTCTATGAAAATATTGAGATAGCAATATTTCTCTATCGCGTTGAGGCGATGTTAACTTGATTTTCTTCCATCAAGACTCCGTCAGCTGTTAAATAAATAATCACTGAGATTTTAATGTTCATTAAATTCCGTACCTTATAGGTTATAGGCCGCGGAATACCAATTTATATTTGCATTCGAAAAATAAAATTACATTGGAATATAAACCTTATTACTATCAGAATAAGTTGTAGTTGACATTTTATTCGTGTAATAATAAGTTTGTCGGTATTTCGAAGCGTTTGCCCCCCGTTGCGAGAGTATGGGAAAGGCAAGTTTTTTTTTTAATTTCACAACCAGATATAAAGACGAGGACATTCTGTACAAGGCTTAGGTTATCAAGATGTTAAGCCAATTATAAAATAAACGAAATAATATTATGATTAAAATAAATTGACATGCATTTTATATATGGAGTTTTGGTAATTAAAATATTACGATACGAGTTATATTTAAAAATAAAAGTTGTTTTTTACTTACTGTGAGATATTTTTACTACCAACATGAAGACTATAACGACATATTCAAACAATTATCGTAGTGTTTTTAAGGGATTATGTGGCAGTAAACGCAAATTACATTTGGTGGTTACTCGCGCGACTTTTAGCATTAAAAGACCCCTTTTGTATGTTACGTCCTATTTCCACTAGCGCGACTTGCTATAAAAGTAGCAACGCAAAGTCGTCCTGGTATCCTTTTAGTGGAAAAATGCCTTAACTACATATCTCCTTGTTGTTTATGCATGTGTGTTTTTGGGTTTTATCGCATGACAATTGAAATCTACACTAAGGGACGTTAATAATGACCACTTAACTTTCATTAAGATGAATAAAATCCTACTAATTTTAACAGAAAAACGTCATTTGCATAAATATTTAAATTGCTGAACCATAAATGAGATACCAATCTTTAGACTTGTCTATGGTTAAATTTCCAGTGGCATTAAAATGCGCCACACGACGCCATCGCTACCGTGCTGCCCCCTGTGGACGGAAAACATCGCCTTTGTCCCTGGGATTTAAAACGATAATCTTACTAATATTATAAATGCGAAAGTTTGAATGGATGGATGTTTGTTAGTAGCCCAAACTGAACAAATCTCGTTGAAATTTGGCATAGATGTAGAGAGTCTGAAAGAACACATAGGCTACTTGCTTTTTTTTATAATTCGACACGGACAAATTCGTGGGCGAAAGCTAAAGTTTAGATGGATGTTTGTTAGAGTTTGTAGCCCAAACTGCTGAACGGATCTGGATGAAATTTGGCATAAATGTAGAGAGTCTGAAAGAACACATAGGCTACTTAGTTTTTTTTTAATTCCACGCGGATGGAGTCACGGGCGAAAGCTAGTAATAAATAATGCAAACAAACGTCATTTATAAATATTTCTTAGGTATTTCTCTATTCATCTCATTTACAAAAGGCGTTCATATATCTGGTATGGCTAATTTTATACTTAGCGCACACCTTGGACGAAACTATCGCACAACGGTTGTGCGATAGTTTCGTCCAAGGTGTGCGATAAGTATGAAATTAGCCAGACCAGATATATCTATATGTCGTTTGTTTCGCAGTCAACTGTTTAGTTGCACAATTGTTGTGCACAATGTTGTGTGTACAAAACAGTTGTGCGATAGTTTCCAAGGAGTACACGCTTAGAAAACAAGATAGTTTGTAAACTCAACTAATATAGAGTTGATACAGGCATGACAAGGTCTTTCATGTAATAATTTTATCATAATCATATTTGTTTTTTAATTTATGTTAAAAGCACAGAAGCTGGCCGGTTATCGTTATAAAAAAGTTGATGAGAAAAAAACATATTCTCGATTACGTCAAAGTCGATTTGACAAGTTTGATGAACACGATCTTAGTTCGACTTTAGTTTTTGACGGAAGCGTGTGGGTGGTCCCCGCTATTGCCACCACGCTTATTTTTAAATTTTAAATTAAAATAACTTCAATACTGTATTAAAGCCATATTTATTACTTATTGGAAATTCTAAAATCTGTCTATTTTCTATATTTTTAGCACAATTTTAATTTAAACACTAGGTAATTTACTCAAATATCTTGATACATTTCATTAATAAAGTCATTCAAAAATACCTGTATTTATACTTTACGCAATTTTTAAGTTTTAATATCTTTGTCCGTAATTGTTTAATAACCATAATGGTGACCCTATTCCTAAATATGCGTACATTTCCCTTTTGTTTTTTTCATCGATCACATAGCGATGACTAACCTCTAACTGCCACCGACGTCGTTATGCATTGGTGTGAAAAAACAAATCTAGGAATCTTAATACGGAATAGAAACATTTTAATAAAATCTAAATTAAAAAAAAAACTAAGGAATCTTTTAATACTATAACATAAATAATATTTTAATTAAAAAAATTGTAGATAATCTAAACCATGGGCTACAAATCGAACTGGCCATCAAGAGACAATTTCTTGCGTTCAAAAATGAAACAATAACGATATGGCTGGCCGGAGACAAATTCCCGCGCAAAGAACTGTCAGTGTCAATGTCAAGTGAGTGAAAATGGTGACGTTAATGCCGTGCAATTACCTCGGCGGTACATCACCGCGCTGCAGCCTGGAACACAACGAGCCGAAGGTCAGATTCTAATATAAAAGCACTTATTATCCACAAATGTCCATTAAAATGCACTGCACAATGCGCAAAATGTACAAATATTTGGTGTGTCGATGTTTTTTTTTTCTGCATGGTGTGAACATTACAAAAGTTGATTCTATACAGCCAGTGTCTTTTTTTTATATTTCGGCACGAGCTTCATTTAATTTGCACATTTTTTATCTATAAATGCTTTGTTTAATATAACATAATCAATCAAGTAACTATCACATAGAACTTAATTGTTAATATTAATTTCTACTTCGTTCCAATATAAACATCGCCTGTTGTTAATGGCCAAATTCCAAGATGTCAAAAATCAAATCGGTACAAATTCCACGTCTCATAGCCTATTTTATAGAGGTCGTTGCCTAAACGATCTTCATTTGTCTTGTAAAATGACTTTACAATTATGTAAGGACATAAAACAACACCTAAAATCTCGCATACCAACAAGCACTCGTATGCACTTGTATGTTTATGTTCTCCTAGTGGTTCCGATCTCATGTTACCCCATTCATACGTTAATCTTTAGGGGCCCATTAAAGTCTCGTAACCTGGTACCTACGGGACAGTGCGTCGTTAGCAACTGATACCAGGCGGTCATAACCGAGGCGTTGGTTTTCATATCGTCGATCATTTAAGTTGTGACGAATATGACACTGGTATGAGCTTATCTACAGGTCGTGTTGCAAGGATGTAAGCAGATTAGTAAATGTTCCGCGAAATTTTTATTACAGTGAACCTTGTATAAATAATATAGTTTACATGTGTTTCGTCCACGTGACATTAAAAAAAACAAACATAGTAATGTTACTCATAGATAAATTACCTTAATGGTGAAAGAATTTTTGATATCGGTCTGGTAGTTTTTGAGTTATTTCAATATATACAAAAAGACAAATCTTTCCCCTTTATAATATTAGTATAGACATAGATATAGGTTAATACATAAATACACTCGAATAATTATTTTTCCTTCCAATTTCAGTGACATGTCGTTTAAATGTCATAGTAATTAAATCTAAAATTTGTCATAGTATCACAGATGCTAAATGGTTCGTATGTTGACAGTTTGCAGTACGATATTCGATACTGGGTGGGGAATTTAATTCTTCGTCTACATTTCAGTAATAAATCGCATCGCGTTGCGCTATCGAGTCGTACAAATTGTGTTTATTGCGGCCATCGCTGGGTGGCGCTGTATCCAAGATTCTTTGTCACTTCAAACAAAACGTTTATTGAGTATGTTAGGTTTTTTTAATTTAATTCGTAGTTTTTATTGTTGGTGACTAAATAAAATACCAAACTGTAAAGACAAAAACATACAGAATTGAGTACCTCCTTCTTTTAGGAAGTAAGTCAAAAAGAAATGAAAAGGCGTGAAGTGGAAGTTATTCAACGAAGTGATGTATTGGCTTACTAGTGGACAATTCTTGTATTTTTCACACTAAAGAAATTTTAATAACATGTATAGAATTATGCTGGTTTTTTTTTTAATTATAAGGTGGCAAACTAGCAATCGGCCACCTGAATCCACCGAAATGGCGAAGCGACCGCCCATAGACATTCGCATATGCGTTGCCTACTCTTAATCTACGAAGGAGGAGACGCACATAAACATATTTCCCCCTCCTATGCGTCTCCTCTACCCTCAAATCCACGTTACCTTTCCATCCTTCTCTTACAACAAAAAGGGTGAGAACAAAAATGGAATTTTGACATATCAGATAAGACAGAGTAAAAATTGTTTTCTGTCCTACCCAGTAAAAGTAAACAACCGTTCTTAATAGCCTGTTACGTCAGAAGCAATCATTTATTAGGTAGGCTATTTTGTTCATTACAAATACGATACTCGTAAAATACGGGTAAGAAAATATTAGGGAAATCTCCGGAATAATGCACGTCTTGATTATTTTCATTATTCCAGACTTATTATTTTTTTTAATTAAAAAACATTTCACACGATATTCAAAATTAATAATCTTAGTAATATCTTTCGAATCAACGATAACCAATCAAATATGGCGGACGATAAATTCTATAATTTATAATGTTGGTAGTCATGAGCGGGAACGGCGGGCGGCGGGCGACGCACCGCTGTCCCTGATCGTAAATATTAACACAGATAAAACAATAAACGAATTACGTATAAATAAATAACAGTTTTGTAACTCTTGTTTAGTCTACAGGATGTTTTTAAAATTTAAAAACACTTAAATTAATCATAAGAGTGCACGTTCCGTTACACGTAAGAGAAAGATATTAAACATAAAAGAACTAAATACAAAAAAAAAACTATGAACATAGTATTGCCGTTTTCAGAATTAAATACCAAACTATAACACAACTAAAATCACCATCTTGAAACAAATATCTTTTTTTATTCGAAGGATGAGTGTTTCGGAACATGCTGTATAACAAATGATCCCAAAGCGCTCGAGCGCGTTGTCGCCGCGTAAAGCGTATAAATTAGTGCGCGCTATCGCGAGATCGGCCTCACACCTCGCTCGGCTCGCGGGACTCGCTGGTGATTTACGCCCTTTCTCACACCCACCTCACCCTTGACTTATGACTGCCTGGTACTTGGGGACCTCACGGGTCCCGTAATAACCCGCTAAAAACAAACAGCCCAACAAAATGGTTAAATACGCATTTGTTTTTTTTAATGTTCAAAGAAAATAACCAATCTGGCTGGAGATTCAAAATTCATTTTACTCTTTGATAATTACTCCTACCATAGATACCATAGACATTTTTTTTTAATTTCAAAATAAACCGATCAGTGTTTTTAGTCGTCGTTTATTTGCATCGCAATTTCGAAATTTAAAAAAACATTTCTAACCTCAATATTCTATTAGGATTTCTTAAATAGGATCAACTATAAAAACAATTAACAATTTACGATAGCTGTATAAAATTCATGAAACAAATTATTCCAATAGTAAAAACTCTCCTATAAACGTAGATTTTACGTAAACATTTAACTATAAGTTTTTTAGGTTAGAAGTTAAAATGACACATAAAATGAAGAGAATAGATTCTGTTATCGTCTCTATCACAGATTAAAGTCCGTATATCAAATGGAGACACAGTGGCGCCCCCAAAAGGTTGTTAAATAAATTCCGCTTGATTTTATTAATGTCGTTGTTTTAATCTTGATCGGGAACAGGCGACGTTTAAGAGTTTTATTATTTATAACTTTTAGTTATCTTGAATCTTGTTAGGTTAGAAAAATTGGGATTGTTAAAATTTTAACATGGGGTTTTAGTTTGTTGACATTCTCATTTAGTATGGATACCATGACCAGGGTGACAGGAATGTTAGAATGTTCAAGACATACTGGGTTGCTAGTTTCCATTTTATTTATTAACGAGCTGTTGTCCGCAACTTCGTCCGCGTGATATTAGAAAACATAATAATTATATAAATTACAAAAAGCTACGTACCCCTTGGGAACCGGATATTTCTCGGGGATGAAGCTTATCCAATGTGTACTCCAGACTTTGTTTTATGTCTGTGCCAAATTTCAATAAGATATGTTGAACCGTTGCAGAATGATCGAGTAAACATTAAAAAACTAAATTAATGAATCCCACGGGAACCGTAACTTATCCCGGGATAAAAAGTAGCCTATGTGTTCTTCCAGACTACGCTCTAAACCTGTGCCAAATTTCATCGAAATCCGTTTAGGTTACAAACTCTAACAAACATCCATTCATCCATCTAAACTTTCATATTTATAATATTAGTATGAAGTACGATTACCAAGTGATTCCTTAGTGTTAGTTTGACTTAAGTTGAAACGGAATAAAACTCAAATTACGTAGTTCAGAAACGCATTTTAGGAAGTTATCGAAAAGACACTAACGAATGGTTAAATTTAGCAAACCGGCCACTATACACATTTTCTTTGACTAAACTTGTTTGTATTCAGTCAGATTTAAATGAACCGATGTTTCTAAAATGATCAATAAAATAATTTTAGTATTAAAAGTACGGCAATTAGACTTTTCGTGTTTGACAAATTATTAGATAACATACAGATGGTCTTTTTTAAAAGCACGATGAACTAGCTACCTTACGTCGTTACTAGCCTATATTCTTTCAGACAGTATTATACAA